TTAACAGTTACACTATTTAAATATGGATGGCGTTGTAGACCATGCATTTATGTGTGTGTCATATAACCTATAACCTGGATATATTCTACATATATCCCCCTTTATAATTCAAATTTTTCTATAATTTTTTAATAACTTTTTCTACTGTGTTTACATGAAGTCTTAAAAATATTATCTGAAAATTATCTAGATGAATCATCATATAATTTTATCTTTTATCTAGATATATTCAAAACGAAATCATCTTTATCTTATCTAAGATAAATTTATATATTTTTATCTTATCTTTATCTAGCTAATTTTAAAATCATCTATGCACAACACTGGTTATTTCTTTGCGTTTTACATTGATAATTGCTAGAGTTGTGGCAGATAAATATGTGTCATGCATGCACATGATGAGGTACTACTGGTGAAGAATGTCTCGACAGATTCTCGCACATTCTCAAGAAACGATATAAATTATTGTTAAATTACAAACTAGCACCGCGGTTTTGTAACATGCTCCAGACAATGGAAGCGATAATACTTGGCTCGAGTCTCGAGTCTGTCGTATTTTACATCCTGGTTTATGCTGATTGTACATCTCTTGGTACATAACCAGTTGAAAATCACCAGCCATAGATCGCGAAGAAGTCGTGACACCTTTCGAGATTTATCTGCGAGATTATTGCGAGATTAGCCGTTGATCGGCGATACCCTCGGGATTATGTTCCGCACTCCACGTGTGTGGTTAAACCGGCGCGACCGCGATAGGCGATTACAGCTGTTAATATCCGTGTCAGTTGCCGAAATACCCGACGCAGTCCTTGCGAATATACCTGCCGGTTTGTCGGGCGCGTGTATAAACGCTGATCGAAAATAGAAATAGCGCTATACTTAGCCGGCCTACACTCGGTATCTGGCTAAAAAGCTCAAGACTTTTCGTCCACGCGCGTTTCGAGCACGCCGACTTCCTCTTTCGATTTTACGGCGCGTGAAATAGCTCGGCGAAACAATGGACGGAGGCGTGGAAATTCTCCGACCGTTTTAGTGCGTGCGAGAAACGAAAGATAGCGAGGACGATTCGCCATTCGAAAATCTTGACGTTACCATTCGATCTAGTATTATAAAGTAACATTTACACAGGAGCAACTCATTCTCTCCAACTTTGTAACGTTTAAAAGAAAATATATACGTACAATACGGCGAGTGCGATAATTATCCGAGAAGGGCGTGACGCATTCGATGCGTCTGGCCGAAATTAAATAGACGCTGAAATTGAATAGATATAGACAGTGGTTTCCAGTTGCCAAGATCTCTGGTATCAACGAACTCTGCGACCGAAATTTGCTGAAATGCTTCTTGGTACACCTTCGAAGATACAATGCGGCCGTTAAGAGAGCACGCTTATTATTACAACTGACAGATGTTACCAAAATTCACATGCATCACATCTGACGGCTGAAATAACAGAAATCCGATTGTTTTATCGGATCGGCGCCGTGACTTCTGTTTATTATATACCGTTCCCATTATTCGTTCTCTCGCGTGTCCGCATTCTCTCTGACATTTTGATAATTATACGCGGATACCTTATTTCCGCATTAGTGTGCAAAAGTTCATAGGTACACACACACGGTACTCACCTATTTCGAGAAACTTTTGGCCATGCGCCATGTCGAATCGCCGACGCTATTATGCGACCTAGAGTTCACTTAATGTCTTAAAGTTCGTCCGTGGACTTTTGTTTTCTTGAAAATATTTGCTGTCAATCAAACGCCAGATTGTGTCCCGTGGCTTATTTTTCTACGAAACCATTTCCGCGATTTTACCCAATACAGTATGCGACTGAATTGGTGAATTCATTGACAAATGTCCAGAACAGTCAATTATTAATAATTACTTAAACCTTTTAAAAATCAAAGTCACTGATTGACACTAGGATTACTTTGGCTTATGAAATTGACGTATGATTATGCAACGTTACAATGTCTTCACTTATTTCGTGCAATCGTCACGTCTAGATAGAATCGACAATACTCGTAATCAGACGTAGGCTCCGATCGAAAATGCGTAATCAACATGAATTTGCATTTAAAGCTGGAACGAACGTATTTAAATACGATGAAAGTCTTAACTGGCGTTTAGATAATCAAGGTCTCAATCGTTCTCTTCCTTGTAGCGATGCTAGCCCATAAGCGAGACGAGGCGGCGAGCAGTTGAAGTGGTTAAAAATGTCGCAACAGCATCCGTCGAGGCCACCCGGAGGAGGCCATGTACCTCCGGGTGGTTGGTCTGGGCGACCTAATGCGCCGAGTCCCTTCAGGCCCGCTTCGCCGTACACGCCGTCGTCATCGCCGCATCCGCAAGGGCGGCTCCACCGTGGGCCTCCGACTCCGGTCCATCCAGCTCATCCCATGTCGCCGCTCGTCTATCCCGGAATAATAATGCATCCGATGAGCCCGGTGCCGATCGGGATGCCAATCTCACCCGGGATGTCGCCTGTCTTCGGCTGCCCGACTTCCGGTTACATCCAGTGCCCAAGGCCACGGTGGCCTTCGCCGATTCCTATGGGTAGCCAAGCGCCAAGGCCATTCATACCGACGCAGGTATGTATTCTTGCAGCATGAAGGATGACAGATCGATAGTAATGTGTCGGTGATATGTGTCCACATTGCGTGTTGCAGTACTTGTCGGATTGTTTAGACTCGAGTATCCTCAGTGCTCAAGTGATTCAATGAAACGCGAACAAATAGTCACGTTAAGGTGCATTTAAATATAATAGATGTAAAAGTAACAAATGTACAGTTTTGAATACACTTTGAAGGACGTCCCCTGATCTGTTTCCTTTAAACCAGTGTAATAGAAGGAAATGCGAGTGCATTAACGCTAAGATGTCTTTTCTTCCTAATTTACAGAGCTCTTTCAGAAGCGATTCGGCATCACCGTTACCATGCGCCCCGCCGGAATATCTGATAACACCCTACAGACCCGGCGATTACGAGTATATTGGCGTACCCTTGGACCATACGCAGACGGACGAGGAAAGCAGTGGTCCCAGCACAGCCGAGATCATCGCCAGTCAGAGTCAAGATTACGTGGATGAAAAACTCGCCGAGTATCAAGCCACGATCCAACAACTGCAGGGTAAGTTTTGCAAAGTCCAGGGGAATCGATTCGTTTTGCGATGGAATCGTATCGGTCACGTTACAGAACGGGCTATCATTAAACCCTCACTCATTCTCCTATAAAATCCCTAATTATAGACTATCTCCCCATTCAAATCACGAAGCATTGTTGTGGCGCACGCAAATTTCGACCATAGGGATGTAAGTGCTGAGATTGCGTGGCGTGTCTGTATGCGTGTCGCAAGGAAACCACGACATTCTCGTCAATTTCCATCGGGAGTTTATTTCTCCTATAATCCTTTTGCGTTTTATCGACGAGGCTAATTTTGATATCTCGCGGAAATGGATACGTTGATACCTTGATTCCGTGCAAACGAAACGTGGCTCATCGGTATTTTGAAAAGGATAAGATAACATAATCGGAATTGAGATTGAAATTATGAAAGAATCGCCGCTTTGAAAGAAAGCGCAAGTTTTACTAATCACTTAAAGCGAAGCGAAGACGTACGTATACAGATTTGGCAAATAAGATCCAGATTTGACGCAAAAAAGACATAAAAGGAGGACACGTCGGATACCCGCGGATGCTGTCATGATGTGTGCATTCGCAGGATCGTAATTCGTCTGCGCTCATTGCGCAACGGGCCGCGACGACGTCGCGTCGCGCGTTTCGCATACCCGTCGAATCGAACTGTGGCGCAAGGGAAAATAGGATAGAATCCGCGGAGACGTGAACGAGTTATAAATAGACGTGACGAACACCTGCCGCGCCGTTCGCAATCGTTACGTTCGCTTTTCCTGTCAGAGACACCTCGCTGTCGGCCCCGCTGGACGAATCACCTTACCGATAGATTGATAGCGTAACGTTTACAGACCATCCTCGATTCGTATATACAGCATGTCCCAGAAAGCGTGCTCCGAATATCCAACTTGGTCGGTTCGAACGTGTCATCGAAATTCTTTTAGACAACAACAGAAACGTCAATTTCTCACGTAAGAACGGCGTGGTTTTGTATATATTTAAAACGCTATTTAAATTCCCCGCTATATTAATAATGTTTTGGCGGAATGAGGATAATTGAAATTTAGCTATTAATAGACACGCTCATTAAATTTTGCGTGCTGCGCGTCTTTGCGTGATGTGCTTCACGCGCGTTAAATAAATCTTGCGACTTCCTGCGAGATAAATACGCGCGAAACTGACATATCCCGTCGGCCGATTAAATTCAACACTGGGTAACTCGATTTGCAAGCTGATGATCGCAGGCTAGATATCGCGTGCCCGATTAAGATGCGGGATGCTTCGTAATTGCGGGGACCGCTTTGCTGCAGATTACAACGTGTCGGAACGACTCGCGCGCGAATGGAGCTGACGAGTAGCTCGTGACATTAATGAACGTGTTAAGGAAATCATATCGCTATTACACCGATTATTAGCGAAAAGGATCACTTGTTAGAAGCAACGTGACTATGGACAATCGCACGGTGATTCTCACAATCTGCGAAATGATCGTCCCTCTCGCACGTGGTTGCCTAAATGCATTCTAACTACGCGCGTGGCTTCATTTAATCTCTTCCCATATTTACATTATGCATATAGTAATCGGGTATATTTGCGTAATACATTAATATAGGGTTATTTGAATTTTTGGATCAGTCCCACCTGAGATTTACAGTTTGTTTTGATACTTTGAGTGTATTTGTGTCTCTTAAGACCTTTAATCTCCTTTATCGCGCCGCGGTGTCAAACGGACTTAGACTACTCCAGTTTCGTCTCCCGACGCTGATATTTATTTCACTGTATCTTAACTCCGACTCGGCAGGGATTAACAAAGACTCTGTAAAGCCCGTATCAGGCTGCGGATTGAGATTGAGATTAGATTGAAATTTGGGCCCATGAGAGTAAAAGTTACTAAACTTGAGATTAGTGAACTTTACTGCGCGATTGGTCAAATTTCAATCCAATCCCAATCTCAATCCGTAGTCTGATACGGGCTTAAGAGAAGCCGTGAAAAACTTTAATGAACTTCCACCACTTTCCAGCAATTCTTTCAACTCATTGTTCTTTAGAAAACTGAACATTTTTGAACAATATTTCAGAGAAAGATTTTCAGAGAAAGATTTCTGCACACACACATCTTGTACATTTATTATATCAAAGGGGCCTCTCATTATCACGAATATAATAACATCTATCTATATATTATACCGAATCACACATGCCATAACACTTGCTTTATAACCGCATAATCATCGATTAATTCGAGTCGTCCGAAGTTTCCCCTCGTGAGAGAAGCAGCACCTGAAGCGACCGCATTGACGGCCGACAGGCTAGTCAATCTGCCGGCTGGCACCGTAGGTTGATCGAGCGGGCCTTGGCGTAAGGGCTAGGAAAGAAGAGCGGGGTAAAGGGATTTAATCGAGGGAGAAAAATACGAGAAATCCAGGACACACCGCGAGTTCTTGTTCGGGTTTGCCTTCGGTGCCGGTCGTCTTCGTTGTCCCATGTCGGGCCGTGTCGCGTCATCGTCGCGAGCAAGTGGGAATGGCGGCGGTACGAGGTGGAGGAGACCGAAGGAGGAGGTCTCGACAGGCCGGTAGTATCGAACCGGCGCCCGTCGCGCACGGCCATACCGTATACATTCCGTATTCGTACATTCCATGCGCGCGCCTCCAACGCGAGCTAGACGTAGGTGCGCACTCCGCTGTCATGGGTGCTGACAGAAAATCAGCCCGGGATCTACTCGCGGGCAGGATCGCAGTCCGCTGATACGATTGATAGGACGACTTGACGCGTCTGTGACTACTCGCGCGCTCTAAATAATCATTGACACGGGGCAGGTGACGCGAATGCGGCATATGCAACCCAGTGCATGGGGTGTGGTGTCGGGAGAACAGGTGTTGGGCTAGCAGAGTTCTCGGGTAGAAAATTCAGACGAGGGGGGGAGAGGGAAGGGATAGAGGGGGGAAGAACCGGGCTGGCGTGCGGACTCGATGAGCGAGACGTGCCGGCCGATGATCCCGGGCGAGAACGATGAAGTAAAAGGACAAACAGCACTTGGAATATGTCGGGAACGACACCACCCAGAGGTGGTCCGACTCCGCCGAGGGTGGACAGCCCTGGCGGTGGCGGTGCCGAGGGTGGCGGCAGTCCGAGAACGCCACGTGGTAGCCGGCTGCGGGACCGAGTGAGCTTTTTCGAACAGGTCTGGTCGGCCGGACGTAGTCCTGGCGCCGAGGAGCTCCCGGAGGACAGAGCGCCTTTCCGCTCGCCGGCGCATCGACGACCGTCTTCGAGGGCGAGTGACTCTTCGTTCGAGGAGAGCTTCGAGCGGCTGGTGGAGGAGGGCGAGCTGAATGGCGCCAAAGTCGTGAAATTTGAGAAGATCACCGTGCGAAAAAGCGTACGTGCGATCAGTTCGGATAGCACGGACAACGGCGACACCGCGGTTGTTCAGCAACGTGCCTTGACAGAGTCAAGTAGGACTCCTAGTGAGGAGCGCGTCCTCGAGGACTCGGCCTATCAAAGTCATAGCCACGGCGTGCAGAGTCACGGCAGCAAGTCCAGTTCGGTCACCTCTTTCACGAGGTTCCCCTCGGAGGAGAGCCTGTCGCAGAGGAGATGCAGCAGTCCACGGCTTCAGCAATTAGGCCCGGACGAACGGCCACCCTCGGAGTGGTACGCGGAATATCGCAGTCAGAGCTTCCAGAATGTCGCCGCGAGAATTGAATACGTGCGCAGCCGAAGCGAATACGATGCACACATCGCCGAGATCAAAGGTACAGGTGTCGCCTGAAAATCAAGAATCTGGGCTGCTCTGTCGATTCTCACTCGTTATCTTCCACGTCGTCTCGATGTTTCCGATGTTCGCGCCGGCCGGCGAGACTCGCCGGCGACAGTCGTTCTTGTCGAGTACCACAAATTTTCGCACACTCAAGTATCGATATTCACAATGAAAACAAATACTTTACAGACGGCTGTTGCTGATGATTAGTGGTTTAATAATTGCAATTATTGATCCGCAACACATTCCGCATTCGATTAGAAAGGAGATCTCGTTGTCAGTGTACACGTTCAGCTGACAAGCGAATTTTGCAAAGAGCATTTTGCGAATCTTGCAATTCTTAAGACATTCGTTTAGACTGCCAGGAATTAAACATTTTTCATTGATAATCGTACGTATGTTATCGCGGTTTAATCGCAGATAACGCTGATACAGAGATACCCGCAGAGCGAAGATATCTCTTCCTAGAAAGTATAGAGTGCAACAAACTTGCTGAGATGTTTTTCTTTTACATCCGTCAAACTATATAGATGAAAACATCTCTATAATCATTTATGGGGCCATTGCACAACGTCGCCACTCAAGCTGCGTATAGAACTTAATGCGTCTCGTAACGCGCGCTAGTATAATAGTTAACGATGACGATAGAGTAGGAACCTCGGTTCAAGGCTAGCCTTCTATCTCAATCTACATCTTTTATCCGTTCTCTTGTTCCTCTAGAGACCTTTTACACGAAATACGAAGAGAAATTCTGCGACCATATAACGTCAATAATAAAAGTGAATGCACTCTTGAGACGTATGGATATGAAACCACAAGCAAAACTCAGGATTAAATGGTTACAGTTGGCGGTGAGAATGCGAGCCAAAGTATTTTCACACTGTTGGTCACTTCTTGCGCGTTCGTGGCAAAAGTTCTGTCGTCGCAAAATACCATCGGATGATGGATTAATCGAGTCGTCAAATTTCGAGGAGCGGGCTCGTTGATGAGAGAGAGAGCCCGTGTCCACGTGCGCATTCGAAATGCACGTATTCTCGGGCGTATGCAGCGAAAGGTTGATTGTCCGTCGTATTAATGACAGCAAAATCAAGAACTCCCGCGGACGAGTTTGTTCCATAGCGCTTTCGCATACTGCGATTTTCATAGTTTGCCTGACAGGCCACGTGCGCGTTCTACAACATGCGATCTTACCTCATCGTTTGTGAAACATCAATTATCAAGCAATTAAGAAACA